GTTATATCGAGATCAAATTTATAGCAAATAGTATTGCCCTATACCGAAGGTTAAAGCTTTTGAATATAATTGTAGTTTAATCTTAATAAGATATTTATTGTTTTTTTTTATTATTTATTGTTTTATTATAGCAGGCCGTGTATAAATATGTCATACGTGTCAATTTTTGTGTTTATTGGCACTTTTACAAAGTGGTAGAAATGGCTCGTTTAGAATTAAACAATGAGGAATAGAGACTGTGAAGCGAGCCATTTCAATAACTTTGCAAAATATATCCAGTAATCACAAATAATGACAATTATTACATCTTCATGCATGGCCTACTAAAATAAAACACTAAATGTCATACCTTTAACATTAAACCACAAGTATCTCCAAAAATATTAGATATAGGGTACCTTATGGTTTGTTTTTTAATCAGGAATAGTGATTCAAATTTACCGCCCCGTAATTGCTTGTTCGCTTGTTTGTAATTGCAGGCAAGTTTCCTTCACTAAATTATGACATTTTGACACTAATGACATTTTTAGACATTTTTAAAATTTTAAAAATTCAAAATTTATATCAACGATTTTTTGTATTTTCTCCTTTAATTTTTAGATTTTTTGTTTGCATTTATAAAAAAAAAAACAGTTCTTTTCAGAACTATTTAGCGACGTGTTTGGTTATTAAGATAACACTATGGATTCAATGCCAAGTACTAGTGGTAATTATCCTTTTCCACCTAAAAAACTCCGAGTAGATTTGGGTCATTTATTATCAAAAAAAAACATACATTATAAACATGTACAAACAAATAAAAATTGATAATCCTGAAATGAAAATAACAGTCATGGTAGCACAAATAAAATAGGCAACAGGTTAGTTTTGCAGAATAGTTATTGTTAAAATCAAGACTTACTAAAGTAATGTACTAATTTTAGGTGTTGCGAATTCAACTATTTACAGAACAATTAAGGAATATAAGCAGACTGGAACAGTGCATATTATATCCTTGCAACATACCATGAAAGAGTTAAAATATCTGTACGACAGAGAGTACACAGCCTCTTTTTCAAGAATGAAATGCCCACTTTAAATAAAATTTTAAGTGAAATAAAATAAATATTTATTTTCTTCTATAATGTGATAAATAAACTCTAAAAATTCTTCAACTTTTTCATAACAATCCAACATTTTTGTGAATCGGAAAAAATTAATATTCAAACATAAACAAACAAAGTTATGTTAGAATTGACGTGTGAGGTTGTCCGATACTGATTACTAGATTACCGCAAGGCCGAGATAATCAACCAAAAAAGAAGATGTATTTGGTGACTTTTCTAGTAACTTTCTTGGGTGTGAATCTGTCTTTTTAGTTTACTCCTCCTGGTCAAAAAACAAGCCATAGTAATATTTGAAAGACAAATGGTTTCTATTTTCATTAAAGTTATTGACTTACTGTAGTTTGAAATTTAAATAAATGGCATATCATTTGTAAACATCCTGTATTTGAAAATTCGATTTCGATGCTATTTCCTCAAAAAACGTTTTTTTCACTCTTTATACGCAAATGTTTTCTAGACATTATTACGTTTGTAAATGGATGAGCTATTAACTTTAAAAAGTTTGTCTCTCTCTGTCAAAAGTTTTTATCTATGGTACATTTTACAAATTGTATCTACAATCTTACACAGAATCTAAAAATGTAATAATATGCATTGTGTTCCATTTAAAGAATCAAAGTTGCTGTTCACTTCCGGAAAACCGGATGTGGCGTGTCTGTCAAAATATTTTCTTATAATCCTCATAAACCAATTTTCATAAATATCGTGTAACTGTGTCACTAGTTTCCGATATCTAGATAGTGTAAGCTCCTCGTGAAACACCCTGTATATAAATTAAAATGATTTTAAGATTATTGTTAGGTAATTTCTAAGTAGTTGGTTACACTTTGACAATGTAGAAATCTTATTTATGACGTGCAGCGAACTTAAAAAGTAATAATGTATACCTGAAATGTACTAGGTGGTCTAATAAGCCGATCTCTCGGCTATATATTAGAAACTATTCATGTTATAACTTTAGGAGAAAAGATTCCTTAGTAAAAGTGGCCAAGTAAATCGCTGGAAATAACTTTCAAGTTTCTGGGTTAACCGCTAGGGGGCGTAACCTGTGAAGAAAAATTTGAAAACGAGTTTTTTGTGAAATATGCCCAGTTATACCAAGTGTTAAATAATAAAACTAGAAAGAGGCCTAAATTCAACACAAAGTTGTTCAAGTACTTTTTTTTATTTTTTCAAATAAAGGGTGGAGGAGAGTGGGAAAGTATTTGAGGATAAATACCTATAAATTTGGTTTGGATCAATCGATTTTAACAAATTAGTGTCATTAGAAAGAGTGTGGATGATTTAATTTACATCTACTATAAAACAATTGCATTTAGTTTTAAATGTGATGGATAGAGAGTACTTTCGAATAGAAAAAATTAAAATTTGCTTTTCTTTAAAATGTTTAATGGAAACACCTATTTATTGCAACTTATAATGGAACTGGATTAAATTCGTAACAAAATGGCGCAAACCGCATGCTGATAGCTTTTGTCGAACTCGAGATATGAATAAAAACGCATAAATATAAGTAAGTATAGTATTGACTCACCCTTTATTATAACTTAAAATTAAATCTGTAAAAGATCATACAAATATCTCGATCATTAAAACTTAATGTCCAATTAAATGTTCAAATTGTTTTCGTTGTCCATGCAAAGATGTAATCTTTCGCGCGTAGACATAACAGCTGCTTCAATCTCAGCTGTTGATATACTATTTATTTCGTTTATAATGCGCTGTTTCATGTCGTCTCGCGAGGTTGGTCGAGTTTGGTACACTAAGTCCTTCAATATTCCCCAAAGATAAAAGTCCAGACATGTTAAGTCTGGAGATCGAACTGGTCATGAAAATATACCTCCCCTTCCAATCCATTTATTTGGATAACTTGCATACAAATAATCTCGAACTTGTTTGGAAAAGTGCGCAGGACACCTATCATGTTGTATTATCCTATCTCTTCTTGTTTGTAAGGAAATATCTTCCAATAAAACAGGCAACTGATTTTCCAAAAAATCCAAAGATGTTTCGCCATTTAAAGTTCTATCAAAGAAATATGGACCTACGATCTCTTCATCAACTATACCACACCAAACATTAAGACTTCATCTACTTTGAAGCTGCACCTGATGTATCCAGTGCGGAGTTCCTTCAGCCCAATAATGCATATTATGCAGATTAACGACACCCGCACTATTAAACGTAGCCTCGTCTGTCCACAAAATCTTTGACATGATATGCGGTTGCTCTTCTAGCAGACCTAACATCCAATTGCAGTAATCCAGCCTTGCATCAAAATCTCTCTCATGTAAAGCTTGGTGGAGAACTACATGATAAGGATGCAGTCTAAAAAAACAGAACAACAAATATTAGTGAAAAAAAAACCACTATATTTACTAAAACTCAAAAAATCTTGAAAAATCCACAATTGTTTCACAAGATAAATCGTAGAAGAAGAATTCCAAGTTTCTGACCCAAACGTTAACTTTATAGTATGAAAAACCAACCTGTGATGTTTTAAAATCCGGAGAACAGTAGTTTTGGGTATGTCTATAGAGATTTGCCGACTACTTATATGTGGATTCTGTTGAATGAAAGCAAGAACATTGAGTGTATGATCTTCGGTCATACCTCCACTACGTCGTTTAAAACAAGAACGATGAAAACTACCAGTTTCTATTAATCTTCTTGCCTTTCTTTCAAATACTTCTTTGCCGTAATGTCTCTTGTTAGGATATCTTCAGAATATATACGTGAGGCAATAGCGACATTTTGGCGACATTCGAAATAAACTCCAATCATATTAGTACTGATAATTAATTACTAATATTTTACCAATAATAATATCTATTGAAAGAAGTGAGATCTTCAATTCGAATTATAATATATAACACTTCTTAACAATGTTTTGACTGCTGTCAATAAATAAACAATATGAACTCCCCGTCAAATTCATTGTATTAGCCTACTTAGTTTCGAAAAAACTATTTTTAATCATATGAAATAATGGTCAAAATAGGTATCAACATTAAGATTCTTCTACTATAAAAAAAATTGAAAGTGCCTACTGACTTATTTTTTAATTTAATTTATAATACAGGGTAAGTCAATGCTATACTTACTTATGTTATGCGTTTTTATTCATATCTCGAGTTCAACAAAAGCTATTAACATGCGGTTTGTGCCATTTTGTTACGAATTTAATCCGGTTCCATTATATTTTCCAACAAATAGGTGTTTCCATTAAACATTTTGACGAAAAACAATTTTTTTTTATTCGAAAGTAGGTACCCTCTATGACAATTGAAACTAAATGCAATTAGTTTATAGTAGATGTAAATTAATTTATCCACAATCTTTCTAATGACACTAATTTCGTTAAAATCGGTTGATCCAAACCAAAGTTATAGGTATTTATCATAAATACTTTCCCACTCTACCCCAACCTTTATTGGAAAAAATAAAAAAATAGTACTTGAACAACTTTGTGCAGAATTTAGGCCTCTTTCTAGTTTACTTATTTAACACTTGGTCTAATTGGGCATATTTCACAAAAAACTGGTTTTCATAGTTTTCTTCACAGGTTACGCCTCCTAGCGTTTAACCCAGAAACTTGAAAGCTATTTCCAGCGATTTCTCTTGGCCACTTTTACTATGGAATTGTTTCTCCTAAAGTTATATGAATACTTTCTGACATATAGCCGAGAGATCGGTTTATTGGACTACCCGGTACAGTTGTGAATATCTGTGAATACTTACAGTAAATGTCAATATTTTTCTTAAATAATTATAACAAATTGGAAAATGTTCAGGTTTGATAATTTTGAACATACGTTTATATAGTTGCAACTGCAAAATTTGCTACTTACAATATTATCGCTTATGTAAATATTAATGTAAATATTGTTGTAGTTCATGAAGACAATAATTCAAGGCTACGTCGAAAACGGTATGCAGCAGGTGGCTGCAGAAGTAGCTGAGAGAACTCTAAGGAATGCCACGCAAACAGCAGTAAATGGTGGTAGAAAAGATGCATGATTAGTACATTTTAAGAATATGCGTAAATTATTGAAAATTCCCAATGCTACCGCTACGTTACATATATCCTCGAAATTAGGGAAAAATACTGTACCTAAGTACTATCTGTAATGTATTGTATAGAATGGATTGTTAAATCTTGCCATCTTCCTTTCACTTCTATGTACAGATTTGTAGCCTTGCGTGTATGTATATATGTAACATTATTTTATTATTATATTGTGATATCTTGGCAATGTTGGTATTAGAGTAAATCTTTTTATTATTTATTATTTTATATCTTATACTTTTTTATTTTAATAGAAATTTCTTTACATCTGACAAAAAGACAACAAATATGCATTTATCTAAAAATATAATGCTAGTTTTCTTTCAGTTTTGTTGATATCTTTATCTTTACATAAAATACTAACATTTACGTCATGGTCAACCTTCTTTTTGGAAAAAGTATTTGGTTGTTTCTTAGTCCTCGAAATCTCTATAATTGGATTGATTTAATTGGCATTTGTCACTGTTAAAGAATACAAAGAACAATGCTGTCGCGAAGATAGTAGGTAGATAGAACGTATTACTAACACATGGATAATATGTCATCTTTTACCGTAACTATAGTAGATTTTTGTTTTCTTTAAATGATGTATATTACTGATCCAAAAATTGTGATATTTCTTGTGAACAGTCAATAATTCATACTACTATTTTAACGTTTTTTCCTTCTAATATGATCAACTGTAATTTTTGCCAACAAGTATACATAAAAAATTATTCAAAACATAGTTGTCGCCTTCTTAGATTAATAATTTTAACTTTGGAACATACTAAGCGGTCAAATTAAACATACTAAGCTGTCATATGCCATTGTTTGATGTTTACAATTCACGATCATCTCTGCCAGCATAGTTAAAATAAAAGCAGGTTTTAGTCTAACAATTGCATTTTTTTTTTATTTTTATACTAAATCAAATATTTCGTTTTTGGGAATTTTGCTCGTGAAAACAAGAATTGTGCAAATACTGTGCCAATTAAAGAGATCCTTAATTATGGATTTCTTCAAGATTTGTTCTCTGTAATAATTTTTAATCATAATGCGCTAGTAATCTATCGATTTCTAGCCTTCAAAATAGTCGAGAAGTTACTTATAATTTACTTTACTATCCCCACTATCTAGGAAAGTGCTTTACCAGCTACTATGTGTAACTTTCCTTACTATCAAATGTCACTTTCATAAATGTCAAAATAATTTTTCAAATTAGAATAAAAATTAATATAGATATTATTATTTGAAACTAAATTATTAATGATAGATTATGACTAAAATAGTATACATATGTATACTTGGGAGAAAGAATTCCAGCCTCGCGACTCTAGCTTACTTTGGTAATTCCTGGACAAGCTAATTTGACAATTAACTTCCTTGGGTAATATATAATATACTATAACTCCTAAGTATTTTGACATTTACAATATATTTAAGTCGTATACCGTTGGTTCTTAATAATGATAGTTGTCACATAAAAAGCATTATTTTATGGAAGTGTACTTTATCCAAAGCAAAGGTTTTATTATGGCTGCATAAAATTGTTGACATTTAAAATCAAATAGATTAGTATTCGTGGTTGTTGAGTAATAAAAGTTTATTGTTTTTCTCTATATTAGGTGTTATATTAAGTTAATGTTAAATAATGGGTTAAGGATTTAATAATCAACTGCCACTAAGACATTGATCAAATTGTATATACACTTATCTACAGATTGTGACATTTTAAAGTTTAATTTTTTAATAAAGTGTAGTAATCAACTGTATGCAGTTTAAATCTCCAAAATTGTAAAAAAAAAGAAGATCTATAGGTACTGTGGGATTAATAGATAGTCCAATTGAGATGTTTCTATATATGTACAACAATGTCTGAGGCTGGTACAAAAATTATTTTAGAGCAAATACGAATTTTTAAATATATTTTCGTACATATTATTTGAAAATAAACCTTTATTAATTGATGAAAAGTTATTTTAAAAATCCCGTAAGTTATAAAAATCAGAGTGTAAAAAAACAATACAGTTTTGCAGTTTCCCAAGAAGCTGTATTTCTTTGTAGACATGTAGATGTTAGCTATGTGATATTTAAAAACAGAAAATATGCGTATTTTGTTCTCCCTGTATACCAATCAGACAATGGTGGTGCTTCACATAGTTCAACATTTTGCTGGACGAATCATCAACGGCACAAAACGAAAGCATCGAAATTTTTATGTGTAACACAAGTTGGTGGTACGATTAGTGGTTATTATAGGACGATCTTGAGTATAATACAAAGCAGAAGCTTCTACAAGAAATATTTTGACGTGTGGTGGACGTTTTCAGCTGTTGTCGTGCCACTATTACATATATCATATTACTAAAGTCTTAAAACATGTTAACATTTGAAAGCAGCCATATATAATATGTAAAATGATTGTTACTGCTACTGCAAATATGACTGACATATTTTTAACAATGAACCAATCAGTTTACTAGGTTCACTGTTCGAGCCACACACACGATCCAGATAAATAGTTAAACTGTATTTCATAACTGTATTACATCCAAATGGATCCGCTGCTTTGAATTAGAATTCTAGAGTGAACGGAGACAGCCTATTGATGTGTAGAATTGTTCATTGTACGATACAGTGTTCCGCGGCTCATTGACGATCGCTCAGTGATCCCTACCAGAGGGTTAAGTACGTTAGAAAACCGAAACGTACATAATATGCAACAATATTGTGTAGTACACTAGTAAATTTCTATCTTCTTGTAAATCAATAATAACGTTAGCTATAAGTTTACAGAAAATCATATTATTTGCCGTATCGTAACTTTTGCTTGCCTGTTCGCTCTAGAGTACCCTGGAAATAACATGCAGCTTAAAAAAATTAATATTTTCTCCTACATGTGAGAATTAGAAAACGTAACAGTATAAAGGCTAAGGTAGAAAACCTAAATATAAAACAAGAAAGTTACGTGAAAAAATACTGAACTATTTTGAGAGCTGTAGAACCCAGATAATTTGCAATTACATCGTATATCAGGTATCTAAGAGCAAACCCTTTTGGAAAATTTCACTAGTATATCGAATAAGTTATTATGGTTTCTTAGATCTAAAGTTTAAAATGTGTAATAATAAATTATTTGTTTTAAATAAGATACTATGGCCCATTATTTTAATTATCTTGATGTTCATGTGCTTGGGGATTTCCCATCTATCCATTTTTATATCATATTTGATTCTAGTGCCTGAGCTAAATGGGCTTGTTATTGTAGACTGTTTGATTATAGTAATTATATATTTTCCACCGAACGTCTGCTTGTATATATTGTACATCTCACAGTTCTATTTTCGCCTCCATGTTCTTTTATTTTATTCTATAATTAAATCATTAATTTGAAAATATCTTTAAATAATTAAAATGTTAATGTATTAATAATAATGTAATACTAGGATGTTATTCTGTCATTCTTTCGAAAGCAATTACAAGAACATTTTACACTTACTTTCTTGATTCTCTCCGGAATTATAATTACAAGAGTCAAAATAAATGATCCGGTTTAAAGGACCAATGTGTAAAGACCTTAAAAAAATCGGTTGTTGATAAACTTTATTAGACGGTGACGACTAAAGATAATTTAAAACTGACATTAATGACCATAGAAGTAACTTCTGCAACTATGAAATTTGAGTAGTGTTTGTTGCAGCCAGTGGCGCCTTGTGACGTTATGAACTCTATACCAATGTCATATTTTTTCTTATTTCACTTATGTTACATAACCGTATGTTCGAGAAATAAAAGATATTTTTTTACTCATATCCAAACGTAATTTATAAAAATATAAACAAGACTAAATAAACCTATAAACTATTAAATTATTGCTCAAATTGCAAATCATTTTGCCTCTTGACATTATGCAAGACTATGTTGAAACTCTTGCAAAACATTTTTAGGGGTATCAGCATTAATTAAATTGATTTTGGTCCTAATTCTCTCTTTAAATTCATCAATATTATTAGGTATGTTAACGTTAACCTTAGACTTAAAGTATCCCCATAAGAAAAAATCTAGTGAAGACAGATCAGAAGTTCTAGCTGGCCACTCTAAAAATCCTCGTCTGTCAATCAATATATTAGAAAAACATGAGTGAAGGTATCCACGTACATGTATGTAATGCGGTAGTGCTCCATCTTGGTGGTACCATAACGAATTATCCGGTAGCTGTGGATTTTGATGATTTGGATATAGAGCTACAAATGCGGAAATTATTCGCTGAAGTAAATCCAAATACTTGTCACAGTTCAATGAACCGTCAATAAAAAATGGTCCCACAATTTTATTATTAACTCTTCCCACCCACACCTTAGCTGTCTGTGGATACTAAGTGTTCCCTACTACAGCTGAGTGAGGTATTTGGTCTTTTGCCCAATACCAACAGTTCTGCCTATTTACTGTACCTGTTAAGGAGAATATAGCCTCATCTGAGAAAACACATTTCCGTAGTAATTGTGGATCATGATTACATCGATCCATCATTAATTCATAAAATTCTTGTCTGCGATCGAAATCATCTTCATTAAGTTCGTGAATTACATGCACTTTAGATAGGTGCAACTTATTTTCTTTAAGAGACTTGAACAAACGTTTCACATATCCGTTGTTCCAATGCAACTTGACGGGTAGGTTTATGAGGATATTCTTGCAGTGATAATATTTCATCTAATTGTTGATCTTCCATAAGGCCTGGACTGCCTTTCGTATATGAGTATTTATCACAGACATTGGCAAAATTTCTAAATTTTGCTTCAACTTTGCTTACCGCCGATTGTGTAATAGGTCTTTAGGGATATTCATTGTTAAATAAGTTACAAAAATCAACTTGTTTACGGGTCCTATCTTCATAACCTATCATTAAAATCTCGGTGCGTTGCTTTTCGCTTAAATGGACCATGATGTCCAATTTTTTTTTTAAAACAGTTATTGTTTGATAGTTAACTATTATTGTGAAGTCGAATTAGCGAAAGTTAGTCTTAATGTGACATGTTTTATTCTCTAAAAGATTTAAACCGATAAAAAGTAATTTTAAAAAAATTATTTACAGGCAGCGGCGAAAAGAAAATTAGAAAAGTATGTGTTTTAGTATTCCCGAATTAATTTCTGAAAATGGTATGTCGTATACACAAAAATGCACTCTTCTCTATAATAGTATCAATAAAGTATTACCATTAAAAAAAATTAAAATG